AAGGACAAAAACCTGACGAATGTCTTGAAATACAACATCTGAGCAATATCTGAGGTGTGGTACCTGTAGTATAAGCAGAATAATTTACTCCGGTCCATTGAATTATTAGAAAATAATGCACACCCGAGGTGTGCATTATTTTCTAATAATTCAACAGCCCGTCGTTAATTACTCCTAACTATTATATTATAATATATATTATATTCAGGGGTGCACATAAGTGGTCCGCAGTTCCACATGCATGACCAAAATTTAAAAAAATGCGCTGTATAAATAAGTTCTGACAGCGCATTTGCGAAACCGACATGGATGACAGCTGTTAATGCACAATTACTATTTTAGGTCGACAAACTGTACTGTATAAGATTTCTATTCAAATTGAAACCATAAATCTAGGCTACCTGCTGCCGTTTTCAAAGCACAATGCAAAACTGTGACATTTCATTCACTGACACTCTACTTAGTTGCCGGCAACCCGCCAAAATAAAAGCCTGCTGATTTTAAGGTTGAAAATGAATAGAAAATTCATATAAAAAGAAGAAGTAAATATTAGCATTTTATTTTTAAGTTTACTATAAAATAATTGTATTTGTATTTAATACTCCCTTTTTATTTCAAAATATAATAGTATTATCATACTTTATTATTTTGTTTATTATTTTATTTAAAAAAAAACTAACTAAATAAAGTTAAATAATATTATCATTCCAATATAAGTGTACAATTATATATATATATATATACATATACATATATATATATATATATATATATATATATTATATTATATTATGTTACGAGGCCATTGGATTCTTGAATTTGATTGATTGACAAATGTTCTAAGGTGTGCAATTATTTTCAGAGAAATGCACAGTGAAAGTAGTTCCAGGCAGGTCTTGATCGCATTACATGTCCATATCACTTTGGCAAATGATTTCAGTTATTTCAAAGGTCCTTACAGCCTACAACAGCAAAAGAACCGAAACCCACAATGACACTGACCAAGCAAATAAATATAGTAAACAACAAGATAAAAACGACAAATTATTTCCATGTTTTTGCCACAAAATTACGTTTTATTATGTACGGAAAGCATATAAACTCTTTCTCCGGTCTGTCTCCCTTACAAATGCACACACAATCTCACAGTCGTCAGCGCTGCTTTGACGATTTTTAGTTCAGCAACTTAAAAGCTACATGACATTACTCACACACAATAATAACAGTGCTTGAAGAAGATGAACTTAACAGTTTCACTATTAGAGATGTTGTTGCCGAACACGGTTGAGAGACGCACAGACTCAGGTATTGCCGGCAACCCGCCAAAATAAAAGCCTGCTGATTTTAAGGTTGAAAATGAATAGAAAATTCATATAAAAAGAAGAAGTAAATATTAGCATTTTATTTTTAAGTTTACTATAAAATAATTGTATTTGTATTTAATACTCCCTTTTTATTTCAAAATATAATAGTATTATCATACTTTATTATTTTGTTTATTATTTTATTTAAAAAAAAACTAACTAAATAAAGTTAAATAATATTATCACTATTATTAATTTCTTTTTTATAGTTATATTTAATGGGTAACACTATGTCACACTATGTGCAGTGTGAGGACCAAACCAAATCTCCAGGTATTCTTATGAGAACCAGGCTGAAAAACTTATGTGCATTGATTATATTATATTATATTATATTATGACTGCATATTTGGTCTCCAGATTAATTCCAGATTAATAAAATATTTACAATAATAATCATTCACATCAGCTTGTTGAGAGGAGATGTGCTATTATTACTCTTAAGCAACTAGACATACAGACTCCATCCTGAATCACATCCAGAAACCAGAATGTAGTTCCCCTTCAAAGGAACTCGCACTGCGTCCTCTAGTGGACACTATGGGGGAATGCCATCAGCTTGACCGGTGTCTGAAGCATGTGTGAAAACACTCCAAATCCATTGGACCGCGCAGCCCGTGACATCATTAGCGGCACGCCCGGAAGTATAAGAGGACGCCTGAAATGCACGCCATCAACTTCTTTGTCTTCAGGAGCCGTCTGTTTGTGTACGTGTAGGAAACACTCTGCAAAACGTTTCAGGTAGTGCGTGCCTCCATTTGAGGACCTGAGGACATGCATGATTGATGCGGTTTGTGCATGAGTGAGGAGCGTGTGCATTTATACAAAAAAAAACATAAATACATTTTCATAATTCCCAGTGTATGTATATAATGCTGAAAGAAGGAAAGAAAGAAAGAAAGAAAGAAAGAAAACTGTTCAGAGCATTTTTAATATAAATAAGCACCAGTTAAGCTGCGATATCAAACAGGACCACAGGGAGACGCCAAAAGACCACTAAACCTGCTGCCTTAACCTGACTGTACATGCTACTATACGGATCCATTCGGAATAACTAAACCACTGACCAGCGCATAATCTAAATCACCTTCAGCTGGCATTCATTATAAACCACTCAGACACTGATGCTTTGACTCAGTACCGCCAACATGGTAACACACATGAAACTGAAATAATGCAATAAACATTAATTTAACAACGTTAGGTGTAACACACAACTCTAATATACAAAACTGATAAGAAAAAACTAAGAAGAAACATAGTTATTTCAACAAAAAAACATCAAATATGAAATGTAATGCAGGGAATTCTGGGAATGTCAATTTACGGTTATTCACTGTAAATTATACAGTCTTTTTCACTTCCAAAAACGGTATACTACCGTAAAATTAATGTCCAATACATGTAATGTCCAATACAGTTTTTCACTGTATATAGTAGGGGAATTTACCGTTAACCAATTAACAGGATTTTACTGTAGCATTTTTACAGTCTTTTACCGTTAAATTCACAGTCATTTTTTACAGTGTACCGGCCCACTTCAAGCACAGTTGATACCTGCGGATTCACACGACTCATATGTTGTGTGTGTGTGGGTGAGAAGCACGCACATTCAGCTTTCAAGGGAGTTGAATGTGCTCGTTGCGCTTATTTCTTTGTGAATAAATGTGGATGGAGTGCGATCGACTCATGAGGAGGTTACATGTGCTCATCGTATGCATTTGCTGTACTACTGAGAGGGAAGGTAGCAAGCCTGATTCTTCTTTGCTTCACTTTTACCGGAGATTGTAAACAGCGTTTGCATGAGCGCATTTGCCTCTTGTGGGATTTGAACAGGCTCCTAGAGATGCATTCGCTACAGTGGATTCCGTTCTCGCTTGATTCTTGAGAGAATATAGCATTTGAATGGAGTGGGAGTTGAACAGGCTCATAGCAATGCATTCGCGGCAGTGATTCTGTTCTCGCTTGATTTTCGAGGGATTCTAGCGTTTGTATTGAGCATATAGAATGCATGCTGTGATGCGGTCACGGTGAGATTGACAGCCTACTGTCCGCGGTTTGCGTCCTGCTGTTGCCGAAACAGCTAGCCAGATCGTTTGGATGATTTGTAGGCAGAAAACGGAAGTGATCTGACGGGAAATGTTTTCCCTTTTCAGGATGTTTCCATGTTGTTCCTATTATTTATACAAAATATAAACTATGTAATATTAGAAAGTGGATGTGACTGGTGTGATGCATTCGCGAGACTGACTGAAAATGACAGATAAGGAGCTTTTCTTTTCTGTTTTCTCCTGGGGTATAGCAGTAAGCGTTTTCATGAGCACGTACTGCTCTCGGAAGGATTATAGTGACGCTTGAACTTAGCACACTTAATGCGTGTTGTGTGATGCGGTCGCAATAATCGCATCGACCCAGGCCTGATTCTCTCTCTCGAGGGATGAGAATTGAGCTCCTATACTCCGTGGTTCGGTTCCCGCGGCCATCATTGCAGTGAGGTGGGATCGAGCAAGGGGATTGTAGATGGGGCACAGGAGGAGTAGAAAGTTTCCGTTCGAGCACCTCTTGTTACCTCTCGTAAGTGGACGTTTATCTGAGATGTACAGTTTCCTTTGATGGCTATCCCCTTCATGAAGATTGTAGCAAGATTTCCCTCCTCAATGATTTGGGGTTTTAAGTAGGGTTCCTTGCTCTCTTTTTAGCAGCTTCTATGGTCTGGTTGGCTCCAATGTATTTACGGTGGCACACCTGAAACATCAAAGCTGGTAGTTGTCTAAGGACAGTTTCCCTTTGACCAGCTGCTCTTTGGCTTGAGTGGTACAAGATGTCCCTCACTAAGTATGTGGATATTGAAGTAGGGTTCCTTGCTCCCTCTGTTTGGTCTGAATGTATGGGTTGGGCTGCCACCCCCTCCCCCACCTTACTAGGGGCCTTAAGTGGGTGGTTCCACTTCTTTGGTTCCTTGGATTGAGCTCTCGTATAAGTCTCCTAGGTCAGGCTGTCTCCCCTGTATCAGAGGGTAGTAAGTTATGCGCTTCACCTATAGCAGCCTCTTCAGAAATGGAAACTGTCTGAGGATAGTTTCCCTTTGAAGAGCTGCTCTTTGCCTTGGGCTGTTTCCCTTATAATTTTAGTTTTTTTAAGTAGACAGTCCATGACTATAGGTTGAGTTTCTTTTTAGGCTCCCTATTTGGGACAAATTTTTGTCAAAGATGCACCAGTTGAGGCTAGGTTCCTTTGACAAGATCTCACGGCACGGAATAGTGGGTATTTCATTACCCATAGTGTCCACTAGAGGACGCGGTGCAACTTCTCTTGAAGGGGAACTTCTGGGGTTACAGTTCACTGAGAGGGCCATATCTTGTTAAATATTTATAGGTTTTTTTTTTTTTTTTTTCAAATAATAAATAGCCATAATTATATAGACTGATATATTATTTAAAATAATTAATTTCATTGAAGGTTAACAAAAATATATCCCTATAAAAAATGCCCCTAAAATCAGTTTCAGAGAGGAAATATTATATTATATTATATTATATTATATTATATATTTCTTATCTTTCTATAATTTTTCTATCATTTATCACATTAAATAGTTATTTCAAGTGTTGACATGCTTGGTCTCCAGATGTGTACCTGCGTGCAGATCTCCAGGGGTTTCCGGCTCAGACTCTGTGGCATCTCTCTGCAGCGGGTGGAGAGGTTGAGGATGGCGGTAGCAGCCATGTGCGCCGCCTCCATGTCGTGTGTGTAGTCGAAGCTGCTCTTGCTGCAGGTGCTGCTGGCGCTGCTCGCTCCTCCTCCTCCTCCACAGCTCAGGCTGCTGCTGCTGGGCCCATAGCTGCTGGTGGTGCTGCTCGCCGAACTGGAGCTCTTGCAGTAGCGCTTTGCTGACGGGACACACAGAGCAGTGACATTAACATAAGCCCTATATGTGCAGACGTATGGGACAGTTCACAAAATAAATTTCTGGTCTACATTTAGTTGTTTTAGTATTTAATTTCTCAGTTATTAGAAATTAAAACTACAGCTGTTTACCAATGTGCTGTACAATCTATAAATCACAAGCCATGACAAATGCACAATACAAAAAACATAATAAAACCTCTAGGGTTGGTTAAAAGCCTGAGCAATTAAATGTTTATAGCTTACATTAAAAATAAATAAATAAATAAAAATTGATGGTGCAGTTCTAATTTAGTTCTAATTACATTGTTATACATATTCAGAGCTGCTATGGCAAAAGTACAAATTTTTAACTTAACTTTAGTTTAGTTCTGGGAACTACTGAAACTATTATTGAGATACTATTATAGCATTTATTAATAGGTTGAATTAGTTTTTATTTTTATATTGTCTGTTTTCATTTTACAGTTATATTTTAGTAATTTTGGTAGTTGGTAGTTTTGTGGTAGTTTTGTTACATATATATTTTACTATTTTACTATTTTTTTTTGTATATATACTGTATGGAGGAATGGCAGAGGATCCCCAAATCCAGGTGTGAAAAACTTGTTGCATCTTTCCCAAAAAGACTCATGGCTGTATTAGATCAAAAGGGTGCTTCTACTAAATAATGAGCAAAGGGTCTGAATACTTAGGACCATGTGATATTTCAGTTTTTCTTTTTTAATAAATCTGCAAAAATGTCAACAATTCTGTGTTTTTCTGTCAATATGGGGTGCTGTGTGTACATTAATGAGGAAAAAAAATTAACTTAAATGATTTTAGCAAATGGCTGCAATATAACAAAGAGTGAAAAATTTAAGGGGGTCTGAATACTTTCCGTACCCACTGTATATATATATATATATATAGTTATATCATATATATTGTTATATATAGTATATATAGGCTTGTTATAGTTAACTAAAACTAAAAACATTACTTATTTTACTATTTTTAGTATATATATATATATATATCATATTTATAACAAGCCTATATTAAACTATTTAGACACTATATAGCCTGTATTAGACATCATTGCCATGCTACAGATGCAACATAGCAATTCCAAAATGCATAATAAAAATTCAGGAAATGTCGATATATTAGCAATAAGTATTTTAACATATTCATGCAATTATTCAGTATACTATGAAACTATGGCCAGGAAAGAATTCCATATAATTACAGTCCACTATTTCAGCCTATTATAAGAAATGGCATGATTACTTCAGTAAATGCATTTTAGCTTTTGTTAACACAACCAGTTAGGTTTAGGGTTGGGTTTAGTGTAAGGGGCACATTATTTTCAAACATGATAGAGCATTAACCTTTTAGTGCCACTCAGCGGACATCTCATTTTCAAACAACCAGTGAAGTTTACATTGCCAGATTCGCATTAATCGTTTCTGATAAAACTGAATATGCTTTTAAGTGCCACTCACTGCTCATTTCACAATGAAAGTGTTGTGAAACAAATTATTTTGGCCATTATCCAAAAACCCATAGAAATGGCTATGTATGTCACACAACTGAGCAATAATATGGTTCTCTTGTTTGTGCAAATATGACAAACTCTTTTCTATCTGGCAAGTGTAGCCTGACTAATTTCATGAACTGGACGGATTTCATGACACAAAATGCAGGTACTTTAATGCATTTTGTACACAGAAAGACAAAAGCCATTCCTTCAGTCCAAAAGTTTGTCAAGCCACACTTGGTGTCCCATTACCTCACTGAAGAGGACATTTAGAGGTAGCACCTTATTTTACAAGGTCCTTACACATTACAGTACAGTAATACGAGTAAATTATGCTTAATACAAGCAACTAACCCTCAACCTAACCCTATATAGTAAGTACATGTTGTTGATTAATATTACTCAGTACATATTTGAGTAATTACAATGTAAAAATTACACCTTAAAATAAAGTGTTATGCATGTAATAACTATGTACTTACTATAATAGCTACAATACAATGCTAATAACTTGGTATTAACTCAAAGCCAACCCTAAACCTAACAGTAACCCATGCACATGAAAAATGGCATAGGATTTACTTTGAAACACTCAGAAATTGCTAGTAAATTTCACAAATTACAAAAAAAGAAATGGCAAGTCACACATTGAATTAAGCATTTGAAGTAAAAAAGACTGAAACCGTATTTTCTTGTGAAATGTACTTTAACAATCTGTTTTATTTTTATTTATTTATTTATTTTTTTAAAGGGTAGTCACCTTATATTACGCAGTACGTTCTGGGGTAAGTACTGTAAGTACACTGTAAGTAAACATACTGTAAAATAGAAAGCATAGAAACTCAGTATGTTAGATGTAGTGGCCTGTAGTCAAATCCCTTTGAAGAGCTTGAAGGCTTGTTTATTATGATGATTTTGATTATTATGAGGACATTTTAAATGATGGGGTGGTGAGGGGGGTGTCGGGATGTAGGTGAGAGACGGAGAGACACTCTCTGCAATTTGACAAAAGACACAATGAGCCACAACCACCAGCTGGGCATCAAAGTGACATCTCCCACCGGACGTCCTGCTGCTATCGCTCGCTATCTCTCTCTCTTCTTCATTCCTTTTACTCTATCTTCTCCCTCCAGTCTGGTCATTAAAACATGGACGGGGATCTCAGTCTTTTGCACAGTATTGCAATTAGCAGCAGCCCTAAATCCAGACTGTGATTTGCCTAAACCGCCTCATTCATTATGCATCTGCCTCCTGATGATTTCCATACATTTCCATACCTCAGAAATACAGTGAAGGAAGATCTCGGAGGCTTTTCTTACAGGGTTTAGTTCCTTGCCAACCATTATAGCTTTCTCAGACCTTAACATTGTCAAATGTTCAAGAGTCATAGTGATAATAATGATCATACATCGGCCACAGAAAGTATATGAAAGATTAAGACTTATTATTTGCTTTATTGGACAACATATCATCAAACCAAGCGACATTTATTGAAAATGTGTTTATTTATAAATGACATTTATTGAAAACTACAGTCTATGTTGTTATTTGCTGAATCTATTGTTTTATGATTTCAAACTACATATATTGAAAATAAATGCAGTTTGAAATTATAAAACAATAGATTCAGCAAATAACGACATAGACTGTAGTTTATAGTTTATAGTTCAAGTGATGAACTATACCTGTGGTTCATATTTATATATATAACCTTTTTAGTTGCAAAGGCGGCATTTCTTACATATGTTGTGTCTGTATATATATATATATATATATATATATATATATATATATATATATGTGTATATATATATATATATATGTGTGTTATTTCTTATATAACTTGACATACTAAAATAGCTAAAACTATAACATAAAAAACTAATAAAAATGACAAAAACACACAAAAATATTAAAACTATAATAAACATAAAACATAAATAACACAAGTAAACATAATAGTATCTCAATGATACTAAAATAACACTGCTACACATATGGCTTTTAGCATCTGGTGCACAAATAAAATTGTATTTGATGAATCTGGTTGAACTTCTTTCAGGGTTTGTTTTTTTCATTGTTTATTATTTTATAGTTTTATAGTTTTGTTGCATCATCCAGAAAAGCGTGAGCTCTTTCAATTAATCAGCTCAATAATCTGCTTCAACTCTGTAAATCTTTTACAGATTTGACAGTCTCAAGCAGTATGTGAGAGTGACCTTTTTATTAAACTGAAATCTGTAACACATTTTATTTCTATAAATGTTCATGTTGTTAAGATAAATCATGGTGCTGTAAGATCCTTGCAATTTCATTGACAGGCTATTTGCCCCTATCACCACAGAACATATAGTTCCTTACTTCCTGCTGTTTAATAATAATAATAATAAATTGAAAAAAGTGTCACTGTACAGCTGTTCCTTGGGGTTCTGTTGGTCAAAAGTCATAACAAAAATGGCTAAAAAAGTAAAGTTAATTCTGAGATAAGCTCCAGCAGAATTTGAGAGAACATTTACTTTGATATTTTGTCATCTAATGTAATGACATTCAAACATTTTAAAGAGTAACTTCAGTGTCCAGATCATTTTTGGGGTTTCTGTATATCTTATAGACCACTACCATTCGAATGTTTGGGGTCAGTATGATTTATACTACCAACGTTTTATTAATATTTTGAACTAGACTATTTTCATATTTCTGTTTTAGTAATTTAGTATTTTGTTTTAGATTATTTAGTTTGAGTTATTTTAGTACTTCAAGTTAAACTAAACAAACAAACAAACAAACAATATATATATATAGAGTTCAGTCACGAAACTCTAGATGGCGCATTCTGACGGTGTTAACGTAACTGATGATATTCAGAGAGTTAAACGACTTGGCACAAGCTGATTGGTTCATGCTGCATATGCAGCCAATGAGCTTACTGCCTTGCATTTATATGGCTGGCTAGCATTCACTTGAGATTCCTGCAGCGCGCTTTCAGAGTTCTCTGAAACCCTCCACCTTCCCCAGCTCCACCTGTATAGATCTGCTACGTGGTTATTTTATATGCTATTTGTGCAGCAGCAGCATGTCTTAAATACTCACTGCACCGTATCGCCGTATGCATTGGCAGTAGCAAGTTTCTGTACTTGCTTGCAGCAGCAGCAATAATCTACAACTACAGCAATAACCAACAGCAGCAGCAATTCAGCAGCAGTGTAGCAGATCTGTTCTGTTCTGCCAAGACCAAATGCATTAACATTGTCATATCCATCACCATGGTAAAATGTTCAGAGAGTTGTCATGATATATAGAGGAGCCTCTTAAAGAAGAAGTTACAGGTCTGTGAGAGCCAGAAATCTTGCTTGTTTGTAGGTGACCAAATACTTATTTTACCGAGGAATTTACCAATTAATTCTTTAAAAATCCTACAATGTGATTTTCTGGATTTTTTTTCTCATTTTGTCTCTCATAGTTGAGGTATACCTATGATGAAAATTACAGGCCTGTCTCATCTTTTTAAGTGGGAGAACTTACACAATTGGTGGCTGACTAAATACTTTTTTGCCCCACTGTATATATATATATATATATATGTATTATATCAGTTAGTGTTTATTTCTTTCAAATAAATAATTTATTTTCTTATGGTTTTAGTTTTAGTTAGCAGTAACCAATAACATAAGTTGGCAATGATCCAGAGAACCATCATTAATCACTGCACACTAATAATAATTGAGCACCAAAGCAGCATATTAGAATGACTTTTGAACGGTGTTGTATATTGATGTCATAGAGCAGATGTGTGAATGCTGAGGTCTTACCATCATCGCTTTTGGGCAGTGTGTCCCGACTGTGGACTTTGGGTGCAGCAGAGTGCCGTTTGCTGTAGATGTTGGTGTTGTCATAGCTGTTGTAGTCAAAGTTGGTTTTGGAGTATTTCTCTAACTCTTTGGCCAGGTTGGATCGTGGGGTTGAAGTGGGCACGTTGTTTTTATAGCCGTACTGTGGAATCTCCAGCTGTTTGACGAAGCACATGGGCCTGGAACAGATACATCCAGCGGTTTATATTGTATCATATGAATGAATGCATGCTATCCATTTCATGAACTTTGCACAGAAAATTCAACACAAATTGTTGCCTATTTTTTAACTACCCTGTTTCTAGCTAAGAACCAAATTCACAGCTTGACCTGGAGTGTCAACGTAAAGCAATGAGGACCGGTTACCTGAGCACACGATCTGAAGCCTGGTTGGATTTGCCTCCATCACATGACGGATGTTTCTCATGGGCTTTGGCCAGTTTCTCTGCAGCCGCTATTGGACAGCCTGACAGGCTGGATGAACAGAACGAAATGTCAGGGGCATGTCTTAAAAAAGACATAACAATATGTGACATATCAGTGAAGTATCAAATGCAGATTCATCAGTCTTAATTTCTGATACTCATCACTGATATACCATCTCTTACAATCTGCTTAATACAGTATGAAGTCAGAAGTAGAATGCTGACCCGTAAAAAAAGAAAAATTACAAAAGTGAGATATCTTAGATCAAAAGTGAGATATCTGAAATGTCTCAGCGGTTTCTCATGCAAAACAGCATTATGGATTAAAAAATCCATAAAGATTCTAAAGAATCGAGACTTGTGCTGAAATCTTCTGCTTTTCAGATTTGCCCCCTGAGAAAAAGACAATAGAAAACACATTCCATATTGTTTGTTGTAACATCAAAAGTTGTGCATTCAATCCAATTTTCCAATATTTTGGTTGAAATTCTCCTGTGATTTCGTAGGGCACTTCAGCAAATATATGCAAGAAAATATGACCAAGACTACATGAAATAAAGTTTGGGACCACTATTGTAATATCTGGGACCAGTTCCATTAGCTTTGCTTTTATGTTAAGACTGTGTCTAAAAAAAAAAAAAAAAAAAAAAAAAAAAGCCTGACCAACTAGCAGTTAGCCAAGGGTTTATTAGTCTTATTTTTCCGATTCATAATAGACCAATCTGTTTTTTTTTTATCCAACTGACTTAAAACAATTAGATTACTAACATGTGAGACTAAGCATTATATGCAACCGGCCACTGGGTTCTGACACAAAACCAGAGATCAATGTTTGCTATTATAAGCTAGAGATTTCATTATGAAATTTTCCATTAAAGTTTAAATGATTATCCACACTAATAAACCTAATTTTATAGCTCCATACTTTTACTGGATGTTAATGTTAATTTTTTGTCTCCTTAAAAATTTAAAGAAAAATGTCTTAGGCAAAGTTCATACATTACTAACTTTACTAATTCTCAGAAGCTAGAATGCAAAGAATGACTGATTGATTGATTGATTGGTTGATTGATTACTTAATATTTTGTTATCTTGTTTTCTAGTACACATATCTAAACATTCTTAAATGAATATAGATTTATTCTAGAAGCAAACTAACTTTAGTTATATTAACTTATTTAGTTATATAAGCTTATATTTAGTCTTGTTTTCTAAAAAAAAAGATCGTAATTTAAGTTAAGTTTTAAGCTTAATTTTCAGTTTTGAGTTTATACTTAGAAGAAAAATATGTCAATGGGGTATGAACAATAAATTGAATTCAAAGGCAAAAAAATATTTTCCTTACCATTGTCAGATGTTTTCTACTTTTAAGCAAAAGTCCATTTTCATGTATTTTTAGTAAAATTATGATGTCATATATTTTAAGTCATTTTGCTTCTCAGAATGTGCTGGCGAACAAACCCAAAATACTGAGTAAGAAAATATATATATTTTTCTGTGTACAAATAAAAGCAACCTGAGAGCAATACAAGCAAGGCACCTCTAGGTAGTGCTACTAACTCAGCGCACAGAAATATGAAAGGCTGTAGTAGCTGAAGATGTGTGTGTGTGTGTGTGTGTGTGTGTTCATGACATGAAGCGAGCTGTCAGGTTTCTGTTGGGCTGTAGGAAATGTAATTTCACTCTTGCAAGTACAAGGGAGGTATGTGTGTGTGTGTGTGTTCAGGGCACTGTGGCGGCCGTCTGGAGTGGGCCGTCTCCCCTGGTGAGGTGTCAGTGAAGTGCTAATGGCTGACGCGCCCTACAGCAGCTGCTGAGAGCATTACTGAAGCACCCACTCCAAATAACTGCATGAACCATTTCATCAGCCCACTACAAACCACACGCAAAGCCTTCCACAGGGGAATGTGGTGTTTTAAAAGCTGCTTGAGTCATGCATTTGTAGTACTCTACATTTTTCATCACTGTCAATCTATTCAATACATGAATGTAGTCCTGCATTGACGTCTACGGAAGTCCTAAGAGGCCATGGATTATTCATATTTTTCTTTTTTGTTTTCTCGTTTTTATGACTTAATTTTCTCGTGATCTTGAGATAACGAAAGCTGTTTTCTTGTGATCACGACCTTATTTTCTCGTGATCTTGACATATCGAAAGTTGTTTTCTCGTGATCACGACTTCATATTTTTTCGTTATCTCGACATAATAAAAGTAGTTTTCTCGTTGTTATGACTTAATTTTCTCATGATTCTGACATAACGAAAGTTGTTTTCTCGTGATCACGATTTAATATTTTCTCGTGATCTCGACATAATAAAAGTTTTCTCGTTATTATGACTTAATTTTCTCATGATCTCGACATAACTAAAGTTGTTTTCTTGTGATCATGACTTTAATATTTTCTCGTGATCTCGACATAACGAAAGCTGTTTTCTCGTGATCACGACTTAATATTTTCTCGTTATCTCGACATAATAAAAATAGTTTTCTCGTTATTACGACTTAATTTTCTCATGATTTCGACATAACGAAAGTTGTTTTCTCATGATCACGATTTAATATTTTCTCGTTATCTCGACATAATAAAATTAGTTTTCTCGTTATTATGACTTGATTTTCTCATGATCTCGACATAACGAAAGTTGTTTTCTTGTTATCACGACTTAATATTTTCCCGTGATCTCGACATAATAAAAGTTGTTTTCTCATTATTACGACTTAATTTTCTTGTGATCTCGACATAACGAAAGTTGTTTTCTCGTTATCACGACTTAATTTTCTCGTGATCTCGACATAACGAAAGTTGTTTTCTCGTTATTACGACTTAATTTTCTCGTGATCTCGACATAACGAAAGTTGTTTTCTCGTGATCACGATTTAATATTTTCTCGTGATCTCGACATAACGAAAGTTGTTTTCTCGTTATTACGACTTAATTTTCTCATGATCTCGACATAACGAAAATTGTTTTCTCGTGATCACGACATAATAAAAGTTGTTTTCTTTTTATTACGACTTAATTTTCTCATGATTTCGACATAACGAAAGTTGTTTTCTCGTGATCACGATTTAATATTTTCCTGTGATCTCGACATAATAAAAGTTGTTTTCTTTTTATTACGACTTAATTTTCTCATGATTTCGACATAACGAAAGTTGTTTTCTCGTGATCACGATTTAATATTTTCTCGTTATCTCGACATAATAAAATTTGTTTTCTCGTTATTATGACTTGATTTTCTCGTGATCTCGACATAACGAAAGTTGTTTTCTTGTTATCACGACTTAATATTTTCTCGTGATCTCGACATAACAAAAGCTGTTTTCTCGTGATCACGACTTAATATTTTCTCGTTATCTCCACATAATAAAAGTTGTTTTCTCGTGATCACGACATAATAAAAGTTGTTTTCTTTTTATTACGACTTAATTTTCTCATGATCTCGACATAACTAAAGTTGTTTTCTTGTGATCACGACTTAATATTTTCTCGTGATCTCGACATAACAAAAGTTGTTTTCTCGTTATCACAACTGAATTTTCTCATGATCTCGACAAAGTTGTTCTCTAAGTTACACAACTGTGCCAACAGGTGGCAGTACAGAACTGAATATAACTGATGGGGTGTTGTATACTGTATATCCACGTTATTGTCCGCGTTTGGGACAGAATAAGGACCTTCTTTGTGATCGCTATAATTTGTGCACTATTGTTTATTACTGACATTTAATTAATTCATAAATGTTAAATGCTTGAATCAATATGATTATTTTGTGTTTCGTTAAGTTCTTTCTAGATGCATGAGTTTCACCACAGCGTTCCGTCATAAACTGCTTATAAAAACCAATGTTGACGTCACTGTATTCTGTTTGCACCTATATCTTTATTTGTGCACATGATTGTTAGTTAATAAGCAGGGATGTTATGTTTATCTAGGACGTGCTTCAATGATGTATTTGTAATGTCGATCTTTTCCTTATTTTTAATCTTTATTGTTAATCATTAAAAGTATATTGATAATGTGATTTATATGTAAAGTGTATAGGCTAATTTATTCAGTGATGTTCTACAGTGTTATAATCTTCTGTATTTTCTACATTTCTTTGTGGAAACCATTCACTCACTCTCTCTCTCTCGCTCTCTCTCTCTCTCTTACACACACACACACACACACACACACACAAACACTATTTTAAAACAGCATCCAGCTTGTACGATATCAGTCAGCATATACTACGTGACTACTAAAAAATTACAAATTATATATCATTTTATTTCAAACAAAAGAAAAAAATAAAGTGAGTGGAATCCAAACAGCTCTAAAATATTTTAGAATAGTTCTCTGCATCCTTCTGAAGGCTCTCCGGTGTTGCTTTTACCATTTAAACATGTTAATTACACAAACAAAATATTTTTGCTTAGCCTACTGTCTGTGAAAAAAATGTCAACAGTGATTGATTAGCCTTTATTTATGTATTGTAGACGTTATTACTAAGCGAAGCAAAATTAGCTGAAATATCCACAACATACTGTAGGCTACAGTAAGAGCGCATGGTTTATCTATTGATCAGATGCGTATTAAAGTTGCGTTCATTAAGTCAAGTCAAGTCAAGTCACCTTTATTTATATGGCGCTTTTAACAATACAGATTGTGACAAAGCAACTGAACAGCATTAATTAGGAAAATAGTGTCAATAATGCAAAATGACAATAGTAAACACTAATTTTTCAGTTAAAGACAGTTCATCATTGAATTCAGTGATGTCAACATCCAGCTCAGTTTAAATAATATCTTTGCAATTATGTCAACGATAACGCTGGAAATGAAGTGTCCCCAACTAAGCAAGCCAGAGGCGATTACTATAGCAACAGCAGATCAAACAGTCTAAAAAAACCAACTTTCGTTATGTCGAGATCACAAGAAAATTAAGTCGTGATAACGAGAAAACAACTTTTGTTATGTCGTGATCACGAGAAAATTAAGTCGTGATAATGAGAAAACAACTTTCGTTATGTCGAGATCATAAGAAAATTAAGTCGTGATAACGAGAAAACAACTTTTGTTATGTCGTGATCACGAGAAAATTAAGTTGTGATAATGAGAAAACAACTTTTGTTGTCGTGATCACGAGAAAATTAAATCGTGATAATGAGAAAACAACTTTCGTTATGTCGAGATCACGAGAAAATTAAGTCGTGATAACGAGAAAACAAAAAAGAAAAATATTAATAATCCATGGCCTCTTAGGACTTCCATAGACGTCAGACATCACTAGCAACATCAAACAAAGTTGCAAGAAATAATGTTTATTTTCAAACTGGTTTCCCAAACACTCCCCATTCATACATCCATGTCTGGCACTTTTTGAGAAAAATAGGTAGTCCCACACAGTGTTGGGTACAGATGATATGCAACTAATTATACTGAATCAACACTGAACTGACTTGAGCTGAATAGCAACATGATTTGTTAACTGTTTTTAGTAGAGCTGCTTATTGCTGAATCAAACTTGCTTCATAAAGAATGAACTTTACACTGTCATTCAACTGAACTGACTGGAGCTGAAAAATGAGTCTTATTGTCTTTGTCACGAATGGACCACGTCTCTGTCTGTGTCTAATAAAGCTCTGCGAATGGATCCGCAAGTCTCACGTCTCGTCAGCCCCGTAACAGTCTTGCTATAGCAGCTTTATAGCAGAATTTGGATTTGCTTAATTTTTGCAGTTTGCATCATTAGCTCTTTTACTTTCTTGTTTAACACTGTAATGCTGCTTTGAAACAATCTTTATTGTATAAAGCGCTATTACAAATAAAGGTGACTTGAGTGACTAGAATTAATCTGGATTACGTAAGAATATTCCGAAAATTAAGTACTTCTAATTAGATTATATTGCATTTTAAAATGCTCAGATCACAGTTACTTTTTTATTGATTACATTATTCACACAGTAAATTATTATCCCTAATCATAATAATAATAATGATAATAATAATAATTAATAATATTATGTTTACATCAACATGCAGGTAAACGAACTAAATTAAAAAAAATTTTTAATTTAATTATAATTTTACATTTTTATGATTTAAGTATCAGTTTATCATCAACTCATGAACCACCTGCAGTTCTTTCATAAACCCCAGTTTGGGAAACCTTGATGTAATGTGACATTTAATGCACTTCAAGTTGTTGATAACAAAGGATGGAATATATTTTCTTTATCTTTGTATTTTTTATCAATGTGATACAAAACAATCCTATACAAATCAATGTGATAAACAACTTACGTCAAAAGTAATATAAATGTTATCAAAAATAGTCTAATTAGATTAGAAATTAGAAACCAAAGATAAAACTGAGAAATTTTGCTGAGGGAAAGTAAGTAGGCAGCACTGTGATTTTTGACTCGGTAAATAAAGATGCTAAGAATGAACACAGAACAGGTTCTCTCATCCAGACAAAGTGGAACTCACCTCCTGTGAGAGTTCCTGTTGCTGTTGACGTGACCCCGGCCCGTGCAGCCAGGCGTAGGGCACTTAAGAACATTTTCATACATTGCAAGAACTTGACAGCAGGCGAGAGAAATAGGGTGGAAGATTAGGAGTTAGAGGCCCACAGTTAGTCATCTGCATTAGTGTGAAACACTCGTCATTATCGCCAGCATGCTCAGAACCAGAGACATCAAACAGTGGCATGCAAAGAACTGCTAATGGAAGAACAGTGGCATGCACATGCACCATGCAGCGCGAGTCATGCTACAAATAACATTCTATTCGATTCTATTCTATGTATATTTCACGTAAAAAAAGCCTAGTAACTACTAGTAGTTAAAAAAACTATTAATTAGTAGTTTACTTAGAGCAACTTCAAAGTGTACTTCTATAAATTAAAAAGTTGGATAGTAATTATACAGCTACTAACAGTATGCTTATATATTCATTAGTAGTATAGTTCACAGTATTGAAGTACAAAAGTAAAACTTAATCATAAACTACAGTAGTTGTGTACTCAAAGTTTACCACCATTACATTGAAATATACTTAAAAGTAGACTTTTATAAACTAAAGAGTAGGCCAATTTAGTCACAAGAAGTGTTGAAATAGTACACTTAAAAGTATACTACTAGTACGTTGATTTTAGTATACTAAAAGTACACCTGGATGATATTCTTAAACTGCACTTACATTAACTTTATCAAATGAATTTGAAGTGTATTCTTTTTTTGTAAGGTTCTAACCACTATAGACGATCTAATGGGATAAACAGGAACTCATCTCGACACTGACTGGTAATGCATATGAAACTCACAATATTTACAAATACTTAAATGTAGTTAGTAACAAGGCCAGAAAATTATTATTTAGGTATTTAAGCAATTTTTCACTTTATATACGTAATGCATTTAAAAAAAGGGGGTATCACTTTATAATAACTTTCATTTACTTTATAAATGAACATTATAACATTCTATAATGCTTACTCACCATGTGAACTGAACTATTCTATTCTATTCTATTCTATTCTAGCCATACAGTCAAAGGTATATTTTAAGAATTTAAATTATTACCAAAATAGGAACCAAGTGGTAAACCTAATGTGCCAAAACCATATACAGAAAATAGTAAAGCTCAAAACTTACTTTAAGTATCAAAACTTTTAAAAACTAGGAGTTTACAAGTACACTATACAGCTAGCAAACTAACAGTATACATACACAGTAAGTTCACTTGTAGTTCTGAACACAACGTTTACCACAGTTACACTTAAAGTACCCTTAATAGTAAAGTGTTTAAACTACGTATTGAGCAAGTAAGTCATAGTCACAAGAAGTATTGAAATAGTAGACATAAAAATGCATTACTAGTAGATTGATTTTTAGTATATTTACTGTATAAAGTGCACTTGCAAAATACATTTGAACTTAAAATGAACTTGAGGTCAAATCTATGCATCACTTTATAATAATTTTCATTAACTTAAACATTATAATATTCCATAATGATTAACAATAATGCTTAATGCCTAACAAAGCCATACCTTAAAAGCTAATGAACCTGGAAATAACCTTCAGATTCTATTCTATTCTATTCTATTCTGTTTAATTGGATTCCCTGCTGCTAGCTTGAAGATGTTGTAAGTAAAATTTGATGCTTAGTTTAACACACTAGTGCGGTGGATTGGGAGTGATGCAGAAAGACGGTTTCACAGAGAGCTCTGACCCTGATTGCATTCTCATCACTAGCTGAAGCTGTCAGCTAACATTAGCTCATGCATCCAGTCATCCGCAGTGAGGTGCTGCCGCTCTGTATTGTTTCAGCTCCGCATTTGTCTTTCATTTGCAGTAGACGCACGTTAACAATCAATGAAATCACCGCCCGAACACTGCCTCTCTCTGATCCCAAACTCTATTATTCATCCGTGCATGCCTTTGTCTCCTCTATCCATGACCAACTAAACTCCCTGCTGACAGCAATTAGATTACTGTTCATTAGGACGCTGGAGTGGGGGGCAGAGAGCGTGGGCCAGGGTGAGCAGACCAGCGCTCTTCCGGTGCTCAGCTTCATCATTATCAGCTCCTTAATCCTTCACCCTCATCTTCAACATACTCTGACATGTTCATTACCGAGCAGCAGGCAGCATCCGCTACCTCCACTGACTGAGACACATGTCTGTGTGTGTCTGAATGCAATTACAATTTAATTTAAGATTTATACTCGATTTGTATAAAGGTGAGTGGTTTTACTTAAGACAAAAAAGTTCTGTGCAACTTGATGCATTCAGATTTTTACGTTCTCTCGACTATTATCTTAAAATTGTCCAAAGTAACACTTCAAAGACAGTTCACCCCCAAAAAATGCACATTCTGTCATCATTTACTCACCCTCAAGTTGTTCCAAACCTATTTGAGTTTGTTTCTTCTGCTGAACACAAAATAAAATATTTTGAAGATTGTAGGCAACCAATCATTTGACAGTAGCCATTGACTTCCACATTTATTATTATTTCTGTCAGGACCACTATCGTCAAAGATGACTGACAATTAGCATACAGTTTGGATTGGTGGTTGATCGATTGATCGTTAAAGTTCAATAATTTTATGTACACATTTTAGAATTAGTCTGATTCAAAAGATAATCAGAAGGCTGAATTCTGACTGACAGAGGAGGAGCTGGGGATGGAGGAGGGAAATTAGCTATTGAGCAATACAAAAACTGCTGATAACACTGAGGGAATATATATATGAATGCTTAGATAGGTGCCATATTCCTATAGGTAGATGGGGATCAGCTGAGAGTCAGCTGATGTGAGCTTGACTAACGTGACCTGCCAGAACTAACGCTACGCTTGATTATTATTATTATTATTATGTGCCCCCCATACTGTGGAAGTCAATGGCTACATCAACTGTGCTCAAAAGAAGAAAGAAACTCATACAGGTTTGAAACATCTTGAGGGTGAGTAAATTATGACAGAATTTGTATTTTCGGGCAAACTATTCAAAACTTTTAAAAACTAGGAGTTTACAAGTACACTATACAGCTAGCAAACTAACAGTATACATACACAGTAAGTTCACTTGTAGTTCTGAACACAACGTTTACCACAGTTACACTTAAAGTACCCTTAATAGTAAAGTGTTTAAACTACGTATTGAGCAAGTAAGTCATAGTCACAAGAAGTATTGAAATAGTAGACATAAAAATGCATTACTAGTAGATTGATTTTTAGTATATTTACTGTATAAAGTGCACTTGCAAAATACATTTGAACTTAAAATGAACTTGAGGTCAAATCTATGCATCACTTTATAATAATTTTCATTAACTTAAACATTATAATATTCCATAATGATTAACAATAATGCTTAATGCCTAACAAAGCCATACCTTAAAAGCTAATGAACCTGGAAATAACCTTCAGATTCTATTCTATTCTATTCTATTCTGTTTAATTGGATTCCCTGCTGCTAGCTTGAAGATGTTGTAAGTAAAATTTGATGCTTAGTTTAACACACTAGTGCGGTGGATTGGGAGTGATGCAGAAAGACGGTTTCACAGAGAGCTCTGACCCTGATTGCATTCTCATCACTAGCTGAAGCTGTCAGCTAACATTAGCTCATGCATCCAGTCATCCGCAGTGAGGTGCTGCCGCTCTGTATTGTTTCAGCTCCGCATTTGTCTTTCATTTGCAGTAGACGCACGTTAACAATCAATGAAATCACCGCCCGAACACTGCCTCTCTCTGATCCCAAACTCTATTATTCATCCGTGCATGCCTTTGTCTCCTCTATCCATGACCAACTAAACTCCCTGCTGACAGCAATTAGATTACTGTTCATTAGGACGCTGGAGTGGGGGGCAGAGAGCGTGGGCCAGGGTGAGCAGACCAGCGCTCTTCCGGTGCTCAGCTTCATCATTATCAGCTCCTTAATCCTTCACCCTCATCTTCAACATACTCTGACATGTTCATTACCGAGCAGCAGGCAGCATCCGCTACCTCCACTGACTGAGACACATGTCTGTGTGTGTCTGAATGCAATTACAATTTAATTTAAGATTTATACTCGATTTGTATAAAGGTGAGTGGTTTTACTTAAGACAAAAAAGTTCTGTGCAACTTGATGCATTCAGATTTTTACGTTCTCTCGACTATTATCTTAAAATTGTCCAAAGTAACACTTCAAAGACAGTTCACCCCCAAAAAATGCACATTCTGTCATCATTTACTCACCCTCAAGTTGTTCCAAACCTATTTGAGTTTGTTTCTTCTGCTGAACACAAAATAAAATATTTTGAAGATTGTAGGCAACCAATCATTTGACAGTAGCCATTGACTTCCACATTTATTATTATTTCTGTCAGGACCACTATCGTCAAAGATGACTGACAATTAGCATACAGTTTGGATTGGTGGTTGATCGATTGATCGTTAAAGTTCAATAATTTTATGTACACATTTTAGAATTAGTCTGATTCAAAAGATAATCAGAAGGCTGAATTCTGACTGACAGAGGAGGAGCTGGGGATGGAGGAGGGAAATTAGCTATTGAGCAATACAAAAACTGCTGATAACACTGAGGGAATATATATATGAATGCTTAGATAGGTGCCATATTCCTATAGGTAGATGGGGATCAGCTGAGAGTCAGCTGATGTGAGCTTGACTAACGTGACCTGCCAGAACTAACGCTACGCTTGATTATTATTATTATTATTATGTTCCCCCCATACTGTGGAAGTCAATGGCTACATCAACTGTGCTCAAAAGAAGAAAGAAACTCATACAGGTTTGAAACATCTTGAGGGTGAGTAAATTATGACAGAATTTGTATTTTCGGGCAAACTATATCTTTAATTAATTTTAATTGGTTTGTTTACTAAATATAAAATGCCTCATTCAGCCAATAAATTCATTGGGTCAGCTACAGATTTCTTGTTCAGCAAATATTCAGTTAGTAACACAATAAACTGATCTGTCATTTTAGTAGTTATGTATAGATACAGTTTTATAAGACACTTAATATGTGAAGTAAACTCTGCTATTTTTGTTTCTGAAGGCGCAAT